GAGGAAAAAACCGCAGCGCGTTCTCGACCACTATCATCTCCAGACAGTTTATGTGTAGGGAACTCTCCTGGTTCGACCACTGGCCAGCGGCCAGTGAGCCCTCGCAGACCGCACCCAACCCGTGTTGGATGCGTCCGTCGAGATGACTTTTCGGCGAGAAAAGGTTCCCATGGTAACGCCCCTCTGAAACCACTCGGTTACTGACCATGGTTGCAGTGCAGTGATACATGTCTGTGTAACCTTGATAATCTGGCGGCCCGTAGTCCACTCGCGGTGGGGTGCGCGGCTCTTTAACCAGAGTTGAAGGGGGCTCATGTGAAGGAGACCCAGCTGTAGCACAGCGGAGGCTGAGGCCATATATATTCCAGCATCCTCTGAAAGGATTTCAGGGGTGTGTGGGTACCCATCCGAAAGGAGGCGGCTAGACGCTGAACACGGCGCGCGCGCTGTGCGGATAAGCGAGCCTTCATCGTGATCGAGTTCAAGTCTATTCCAAGGAATGAAATAGTTTGACTGGGCTGGAGAGAGCTCTTTGTCCAGTTGACAGAGAGTCCCAGCGCTTTCAGATGGTTTAGGAGAACTGCGTGGTGCGACAGAAGCTCCGTCTGAGATTGTGCTACAATCAGCCAGTCGTCCAGATAGTTTAAAATGCGCAGCCCCTGACTCCGCAGGGGGGCGAGCGCTGTATCCATGCACTTCGTGAACGTACGGGGTGCTAAGGATAGGCCGAACGGGAGAACCTGACCCTCGAAGGCGAAACGTAGGAATGGCCTGTGACGAGGATTTATCTGGATCTGGAAATAGGCGTCTTTCAGGTCTAGAGAGATGAACCAGTCCCCCTGGAGGACGTGTGCGAGGAGTTTTCTGACTGTGAGCATTTTGAACGGTCTCTTCATGAGCGCTTTGTTCAAGACCCTGAGATCTAAGATCGGCCTGAGGCCGCCGTCTTTCTTGGGAACAAGAAAATAACGGCCGTAAAACCCCGACTCGGTCATAGATGGCAGAACTCTCTCTATTGCGCCCTTCTGCAGCAGCTTCGCTATTTCTGAGCGGAGCGTGTTCATCGCAGCTGGACTGGCAGTGGATTCGAGCCGAACGCGCGAACGGGGCGGGCGGCGACGAAACTGTAATAGATAGCCATTCTTTATGATGCTTAAAACCCACGGGGAGATGCCGGGGATGGCTTCCCACGCTTCGCAGCATGCGGCTAGCGGATGAATGGCAGTTTCGCCCTGATTGCTGCACATAGCGGGCTGAACACTGTGTGTGGGCGCGCTTAGAGTGTGTGTGGCAACGGGACTTACACTCAGAGAGGAGTTTTTGGGCCGTGAGACAGAGCGAGCAGAGGGGGGACACGCGCACGGGCTCATGGGCGTGTTTATGTTTTCTGCTACTAGAGCGGACAGTGGCCGCTCTGTGAGACTGGGCTCTGTGGGAGACACGGGGCATATGGTACTTGTGTGTGTATGAGTGAACACATGTTTGTGGGCACATTTTTTACACTTGAGGCTTTTATGCTCTTTTTGTGAACTCTCTGGGTAGCCGTGAAAACGGCTTTTTGTCGCTCGCAAGCGGGCAGAGAAACCGGCTTGTTTGTGGCGGTAAACACTACTGTAGTCGGCGAGGCTTCGGGGACTAGCAGAGGACGAAACTTTGACGGCGGTCCGTCCGCAGCGGGAGAGAGCCGTCTTTTTCTCAGCTGTGCTAGGCAGACTTTTGCTGATCAGGCTTCAGCGTGATCTTGGGTCGAGGCCCCCGGGGAGGAGGCTGTCTGTGGCTGTCTGCCTGACTACGCTGGGGCTGCTGAGCTTGCTGAGGCGGGCGCTGTTTCGGCCGCAGAAACGAGGCATCTTGAAAAAGACGCTCGAGCTCTTTTGTGAGGAATAAGTGAAAAAGGATACGGCGTCGGACGGCGCTAGCTTGCAGGACGGCTGAAGGTGGCAGACGGCCGGCTTCCTCAGTCTCCGGAGCTCGCTAGAAGGTGCCTTCTTCGACAGCGGATGCGTGTAGCTCGCTGAATGATGAAGAATCAACTACCGAGCCTAGGAGAGCCAGTTTTATACACTGTAGCCACGCCCCTTTCGGCGGGCTCTGACGCAATGAGCGAGCGCCGTCCGCTCATTGGCCGCGGGCTCAGCGCTGCTCTCCCATAGGTTCGTGCATTCTCTCTGAGCGAACCAATGAGCTGCTAGCTAGCCCCGCTCACGGTCTGCCTCAGAGAGACTGCGTTGACAATGATTACAAAATTATGGAATAATTTTTTGGCTTCAACTTCTCAGCAAAGATGAATCTTTCCCGTAGCGTAAGCTAGCTTACGCAATACGAGAGAACCTCTCGTAAGAGAACCATATTATCTCTAGCCTTGGCTGCTGTATATAGACCTCCAGGGCCATATGCTGAATTCCTAAAAGAGTTTGCAGACCTTCTCTCGGATCTATTGGTGAATGTCGATAAAGCAATAATTGTTGGAGATTTTAACATTCACGTAGATAATACAAATGATGTGTTAGGTGCTGCATTTACAGAATTATTAAACTCCTTTGGGGTCAAACAAAACGTCAGTGGTCCCACTCATCGTCTAAATCATACACTAGATTTAATTATATCATATGGAACCAATCCAACTGATATAGATATTATACCGCAAAGCGATGACGTCACTGATCATTACATGGTGACTTGCATAATATGTACTGCTGAAATATGTCATGTTGCCCCATGTTATAGACCAGGCAGAACAATCCTTCCAACCAGTATAGATAGATTCTCAAATAGCTTACCTGATATTTCTAAGCTGCTAAGTGAACCCAAACAAACAGATGAATTAGACGAAATGACTAGCAGTTTGAGCACCATTTTCACTAGTATATTAGACATTGTTGCACCAATTAGATTAAAAAAGGTTAGAGAGAAAACTAAAGCACCCTGGTACAACAGTGTTAGAGCGTTAGAGCGTAAATGGAAACAAACTAATTTAGAGGTCTTTAGAATCGCGTGGAAAGACAGTATGTCACGTTATAAAAAGGCCCTAAAAACAGCCAGGGCTGTTAACTAATAGAAAATAAACTAATAGAAAATAACCAAAATAATCCAACGTTTTTATTTAACACCGTGGCTAGACTAACAAATAAACAGACATCACCAGAGCAAAATATACCGTTACAGTTTAGCAGTAATGATTTTATGAATTACTTCCATGAGAAAATAGAAAGCATCCGAAGCACAATTATAAATGTACAATCCTCTATGGTGTCTTATGATTCAGCCTCATTTATGGCCCTTCTAGAACAACTACACCGCTTTACAATGATAGGACAGGAGGAGCTAAATAAACTTATCATTGCATCTAAACCAACAACATGTTTATTAGATCCAATACCCACTAAACTACTAAAAGAACTATTACCTGTAGTGGAAGAGCCTCTCCTCAATATTATTAACTCGTCTTTATCTTTAGGTCATGTTCCAAAAATATTCAAGCTGGCAGTAATAAAACCTCTCATTAAGAAACCGCAATTAGATCCAAATAACTTAGCAAATTACAGACCCATTTCAAACCTTCCATTTATGTCCAAAATACTAGAAAAAGTTGTGTCCGCTCAATTGTGCTCTTTTTTGCAAGTGAAATGATATCTATGAAAAATTCCAGTCAGGATTCAGACCGCATCATAGCACAGAAACTGCGCTAGTTAAAATTACAAATGATTTACTTTTAGCTTCTGACCAAGGCTGTATCTCAATACTAGACTACACTGGTGTTCAGGGACAGGCATTAAACTGGTTCAGATAGTACTTATCGGACCGTTATCATTTTGTCTGTTTAAACGGGAAAAAATCTAAGATAACGTCAGTAGACTATGGAGTACCGCAAGGTTCGGTTTTAGGCCCTCTGCTATTCTCAATATATATGCTGCCACTTGGTAATATTATAAGAAAACATGGAATTAATTAATTTCCACTGTTACGCTGATGACACTCAATTATATATTTCATCGCGACCAGACGAAAACACTAACTCATCTAAATTGACAGAGTGTCTCAAAGATATAAAATGCTGGATGACGCGTAATTTCCTGCTATTAAATTCAGATAAAACGGAGGTATTACTTATTGGTCCAAAAAACCACTCACAAAACCTCTTACAACACAACTTTAATATAGACGGATGTCCTGTTACTTTATCCACTGCAGTAAAAGAACTGGGTGTTATACTAGACCGCAACTTGTCTTTCGAAAATAATATTTCTTATGTTACATGAACAGCCTTTTTCCACCTTAGAAACATTGCTAAGCTACGTAACATGCTATCTGTTTCTGATGCAGAAAAATTCGTTCATACATTCATGTCCTCGAGACGGATCGGAAAAATCCGATACGTGGATTACGCTGGTATCGGTCCCGATACCTATACTGGATCGGATCGGCCCCATCCCTAGGTGGGGCCCATTTTTATGCTCTTGCCTGGGGTCCCAAAAACCCAAAAAACAGTCCTGCACAAATCCAACAAACTGATACTCTGGGTGGTACTTCGGTTTACAGAACAAACATTCTGGGAAAATTTGATAAATTGGTTAAAATCTGACCTGGTCGACTGAAGCGGGGCCATGTGTCTTTATAAACAGTCATCCACGAGCAACGATGAAACTGCCTCTGTCTCTGTTTTTTTCTGAATGTGGGAGAAAAACAAAAACAAAAAAACATTCAGTAGTATAATTCTCAGGCTTTGTGCACATAACACAAATCTCCAGAACTTACTATGATGCAATAAATGAGATCAGATTAATTTGTTCATTTTGCAATATTCGGTGTAGTGGATGATGCAGACATCCACATTGTAAATGTTCTTCAAAACGTATTCGATATGTATTGCATCCAATCACTTAAACCACTTCAAAGGATGTGTTAAAGGGTTAACACAGTTAAAGGGTTAGTTCACCCAAAAATGAAAATTAAGTCATTAATTACTCACCCCCATGCTGTACCAACCCTGTAAGACCTTCGTTGATCTTCGGAACACAAATGAAGATATTTTTTATTTAATCTGAGAGGTGGATCACTCCTACATAGGCTGCCTAAGGGAATGACACTTGACTGCCCATAAAGTCATTAAAAAAAATGTTTAAATATTCCATGTGCCTACAGTGGCTCAATTATAAGTTTATCAAGCGACGAGACTACTTTTTGTGCGAAAAAAACCAAAACACTTTATTCGACTATTCCATTACTTCCTTATGGGCCTTGAGACGAGAGTTGAAGAGATTTCCAGAACGCATGCGCGAGAACTGAGATGAGGATGTTCTTCTTCGACTACTTCTTGTTACCGCCTGCTCACCCTTAGGAGTTTTTTTGTTTGTTTTTTTTATTGACAGCATTTGCAGACACAAACAACACATTGAAATACATACACAAATAAACTATACATAAATAAATGCATAAATAAATAGACAAATAAAGTACATACATGAATAAATTATATCCAGCAGTGGGGTCTGCAAAGTCCAGCAAGGCTAATCAACAAGCAGTTCAATTCATAGCGTACCGTACAGTTATGAGTTCCAATTTCATTCACTCACACGATGTCACAAGTTTTGAGTATATCTGCACAGTCTTCAGAGCTTTACAGTTCTTTGAATATCTTATGGAGTCCAAGTATTCATTGACTCTCAAACACAGGAAAGAAGGGTTTAGACCCCCTGAACTTACATTTATGGATGTGATATTTAGCGAGTAAAAATAAAAGATTAATAATGAAATATTTTCCTTCTTTGTCCGTCTTAAGGTCGACCACACCAAAGAAAACATCTTTAAAGCAAAATGAGAAATCCGTAATGAAAAAGGTTTGGATAAAGGTTTGGATAAATTCAAGGACATCTGACCAAAATTTTTCTGTGTATGACCATTTCCAAAATAAATGGCAAATATCTTCATCTGACCTTTTACAGAAAGAGCATTCAGATTCAATATCTGGTTTATACCGCTTAAGCACACACTTTACTGGGTAGAATCTGTGAATTAATTTAAACGTAACTTCTCTCACTTTATTAGTAAGCATATATTTAAAAGGCAATGACCAAACACTTTTCCAAGGGACATTCTCCACTAACCTGTTCCAATATGGGATTATATAAGGGATAGTAACAATTTCTTTTTGGTATAAAGCCCTAATAGTTTTATTTTTCGTCACTGCAGAAAAGCATAATCTCCCCACAGCAGTATCAGATAAATCCATTTCTCAGTGGCCATGGGAAATTAATGCCTCCCAGCAAAATTCTGATACCAGAAGGAATTGCATCAAAGACAATTGCATACTCCTTAACCGAAACAGGAATTTGAAATTTCTGCAAGAACTCTAAATAACTGTACAGTCTGCCACTTGTGTCATAGAGAAAATATAGTTTGGAATAAAGTTCCAGAGTGATGTTGGATTGTTAAAGAATTGTCTGAGCCAATTGATTTTGAAGGTATTGCTTAAAGTTGTGAAGTCCAAAAAGTTTAACCTCCCATCCTGATTTGTGTTCATTATTACAGACTTTGACATAATGAATTTTGTTTTTCCACACGAAATTAAACAACATATCGTCAATTCTTTTCGATACCTTACAATCAACATCCAAAGAGGCCGCCAAATAAGCAAGTCTGGAGATTCCCTCCGCTTTTGTCAGTAATACTCTTCCTCTCAAGGATAAGTCTCTTTGTAGCCAAGAGTTTAACTTTTTTTTTTTTTTTTCAATGATTGGGCTAAAATTTAATGGACTTCTTAAACTTTGGTCTTTAGTTATTATTGTTCCCAGGTATGTAACCCGATCCTTCACAAGAATGCCACATACGTTTGAAACATCACAATCTTTAACTGCCATTAGTTCACATTTTTTTAAGTTTAATTTGACACCTGAAGCTTGTGAAAATCCTCTGATTAATTCTATCGCAAGGGGAATCTGGGATGCATTTCTGAGGAAGATGGTGGTGTCATGGGCCAGCTGACTAAGGATGATACTTCTTTCAGCCAATGTTATCCCTTCCAAGGCACTGTTAGAAACATGTAGAGCTAAGATTTGAGAGGCGATCAAAAACAGGTATGGGGAGATAGGGCACCCTTGTTTGATTCCACGGGACACTTTGAATCTAGGGGAAGTACCGAATTTCAATTTTATTGCACTACTACCATTTGTATACAGGGTCCTAACAGTTCTGCAAAAGACATCACCAAATCCAAATTTTTGAAGTGCTTGCAGAATAAAACCAAGTTCAAGCGAGTCAATCGCCTTATAAAAATCAAGGAACAGAATGAAGCTGTTGTCAGTGATGAGTTCATTATAATCTAATAAATCTAGCACTAATCTAATGTTATTTGCAATATGTCGTTTCCTCATGAACCCAGATTGTGACTCATCTATTATAGAGTCTAACACTTCTTTTAGTCTATTAGCGAAAAATAGTGCAAAAATTTTGTAATCGTGGGGGCGCCACTGAGCAATGACGGAGTAAGACGTGTCTTTAAGAGCTCCGTAAGCCAAATCCGTTAAAAACTACTTTCAAGAGCCAAAAACTATGTAGATTTCATACTTTCAGAACGCATTTACTTTTAAAATACTAAGACTTCAAGCCCGACTCGATATTTCAACATGAGCAAACAAAAAACCAAGAAACAGAAATCGATTCAACCAGGCCTCAGCCAACCCCCAGCCTTGCCTGGTACACAGACTGAAGACTCCAGCGGTGATGAAGATGATCCATCTAACCGAGCGCTGCTCGCTGCCATTACAGGACTCAGAGGTGAAATGACCAAGATAAAGGATGACATCTGTGAGAATTTGGACAAACGCATTGAACGCGTGTATAACGACTTAAGAGAGGAGATTGTTACGGCTAACAACGTCGCTCAGGTGTCTATTGCTAATCTTGAAGCGAAATCTCAGATGCAACAAGCTAAACTCACTGACATAGAAGAGGCCACCACTACACACTCTGATAGCATTAATCAACTTGAGCAACAAGTGGCTAATCTCAGTGCCGAAGTTGTCAGTCTTAAACAGAAGAATGAAGATTTAGAAAGAAGGTCTCGTAGAAACAACATCAGAATTACGGGTGTACGAGAGGGCTCGGAAACAACAAAACCGAGGGACTTCATTGCCAACTTGTTGAAAGACGTACTATCGTTGGACGAGGCCCCGCTTATTGACAGAGCCCACAGAACCCTTCGACAACGCTCGAACCCCTCTGACCCACCGCGCCCATTCGTAATACGCCTTCATTACCATCACGTCCTGGAAGACATCCTCCCACAAGCTGCCGCTATGAGAAACCTCCAATATCAAGGTAAAGCCATAAGCATCTTCCCCGATTACCCTCCTTCAGTGGCAAAGCGAAGGGCACAATTCAACAGAGCCAGGCACCTACTGTGCAATCAACCCGATGTCAAATATGGCTTGCTTTACCCAGCGAGACTCCTTGTGACTCACAACGGCTCCCAGTCATCCTTTACAGATCCGCAGAAAGCCGAGGAGTATGCTGAACGTCTCACGGCAAAACCACAGGGATCAACCGGAGGAAGTTAAAAGTCCGATAATACATCAATAATACATGTACATCGATACATCGATAATACATGTACCCTACTCCAACAGGGATCCTTACAAATTGTGGTAAGATAACATGACAAGGAAGACAAGTGGAGAGAGACTTGTATATCGTCAATAAGCTACGAATGTTTATTCAAGTTAAAATTCTCTTTCCCTCTATGGAGTGTCTACTCTGTTCTAGTGGTATCCAGTAAGATTAATATATAAGAATAAATTGTTAAGTTTACAAATCTTCTACAACGTACGATTACTATACAGATTTTATTTATTTTCTCATCTTCTTATTTTCAAATATAACCTTCAAACATTTTGTTCTGTGTTACAAATGGCCATGGCTTCATAGTTAGGCTTGAGGGGCTTCCCCCAAATGGAGTAACAGTCTTTATAAGCTAGGTTACTCATATAGGGAATTTTCGTTTTTGTTTTTTTGTTTTTTCCCGCTAACTGTTTTCCTGCGGCTACTTTAGATTAGCCTAAGGTACTTAAGTTTATGTTGTTCATTTATTTGTTGTTTAATATGTGTGTGTAAGTATGCGGAATTACAAATTTTGTGCAGCAATAGAAGATGGTTTCTTTCACTATAATGCATATAGATACTTGATTTCTTACTTCACTCATATGCCAATTTTCCTTCCTGTTACATATGATGGATGTACTGAATGTTAAAAAGGGACTGACATTTACAAGTTGGGATATACGGGGCGCAAACAACCCGGTGAAGAGAGGTAAAGTTTTGAATCATTTAAAGTCATTAAGTCACTCAGACATATCCTTCTTACAAGAGACACATTTAAAAAACAATTCTCATAACAGATTGAAAGCTAAATGGGTAAAAGAGGTATACCATATGTCCTTCTCCACAAAAGCAAGAGGCGCAGCCATTATAATAAAGAAAGGGATCCCCTTTATCCATAATTCCACCATAGCCGATAAAGATGGTCGCTATATCATTGTCTCGGGAGAGATATACAACACATCTCTAGTTCTCATCAATATATACGCTCCCAATTTGGATAACCCCGCATTTTTTAAGAAAGTCTTCAGTTTACTCCCCAATCTGTCACAGACTATGTTAATAATAGGAGGA